GTGGCATTGCTGGGGAAGGCAGTTGGGGAGGAGGAGAGGCTGTAGCAAGAGGCCCATCTGGATTTTTTCTGAGAGCAACAGGGAGCTGAGCCCACTTGGAGAATGTGCTCAAGGGCGAGAGTCTGGGGCACCCCAGGGGCCAGGATGTGGCCAGCCCTGCTAGGCCTTCAGCAGGGGAGGGGAAGGCCAGGCTGCTCCTCTCTGACGTAGGGGAAGCCTGGGAAATGGGAAAGCCTCGGAGGAAGGCTTCACGCTTCCACCTTTTCAGGCCCCCTCCCTGGGATTGGGAAGGAGTCTGAGCACTCTGGAGACCACCCCCAGTGCAGCTGGGTCTGTGAGGCTTGAGGAAGACTAGGAGGCTTTCCAGGGGGGCCCTGCCTCATTGGGAGGCGCCTGTCTGGGGCCTGGGAGGCAGATGGCATCTTGCAACCCTGCAATTAGTAAAGTAGGCAGGGGAGCCAGTGGTGGCGGGGGAGGTGGGAGGCGGCCGGCTGAGAGCTGCAGCTGGCTTCTGGATGCTGCCACTGCCTCCAGCCCCCCTCCACTGGCCCAGAAGGGCTGCCTGGAGTGGCTGGAGGGCCCCAGGAAGACAAAGCAGTGGGGGCTTGGGAGGAAATACAGGGCAGCAGGGAGAGTCAGAGAAGGAATAGAATGGCACAGTCATGTCAGTGAAGGTGGATTTGGACAGCCCATTTGTTCCTGTCCCCATTTGACAGATAGGGAAACCAAAGCTGGGAGAGAGGCAGGAGCTCACCGGAAGACATACAGCCAATCAGAGAGAGGCTGGGGCCAGAAGCCAGGTTTGTCTGGAGGGCTGGAGTGCAGAGGGCTCACTGCTGGGCATGGATTTCTAGGCAGAAATCCCTAGGGGCTGCCTGGTAGAGTCAGGCTGGATAAAATGGCCTTGGCTGGAGAGGAAGGACGGGCTCAGGGCCCCCAGCCCTCCCACTACGGGAGAGGAGGGACCGGGTGGCGGGGTAGTGTCTGGCTCAGATAGTTCTCCAGCCCGTCTGGGCACTCCAGGCCTATGAGGAGAGGCCCTGGCTCTGCTGCCCCTGGATTGCTGTGGCTTTTGGTACCTGGGCTTGGGGGACTTCCACGCCCCCCTCCAGGAGGAAGACTTAGCTGGGCAGCAGAAAGACCCTCCTAGGACTGGCCTGGCGGTTATTGCAGTGGAGCCGGGGGTGGGGTGGGGTTCTGGTTTCAGCTTCTACCATCCCACCCATCTGTCCTTCCTCCATCCATCCTTCCATGCATCCATCACGCTTTCCCTCCTGCCTCCCCTCTAACACTTAAACAAATGCCCACTAGGTCCAAGGCACTGTGCTGGTTGCTAGAGGATTCTCTGCCCTCCAGGAGCAGCCAGGGAGGCAGAAGCAGCAGACACATAAACAGCTGCCCTAACATGCTAAGAATGAACCCAGTAGACCGAGCTCTGAAGGGCTGGTGGGACTTTGATGGGTGCAGGGCAGTACTCGGGGCAGTAAGGAGGTTGGCATGGCTGGAGCTGCAGTGTCTGCAGAGTAGAGTGTGGTGGCAGAGGGCAGGGGCCACACGGGGCCTTGCCTTGGAGGATGGGGTGGCAGCCCATGATCAGGAGTGTGGGCCAGGCGTGGTGGCTCATGTCCGTAACCCCAGCACTTTGAGAGGCCAAGGCAGGTGGATCACTTGAGGTCAGGAGTTTGAGACCAGCCTGGCCAACATGGTGAAATCCCATCTCTACTAAAAACAAACAAACAAACAACAATAACAACAAACAGCTGGGCATGGTGGTACATGCTTGTAATCCCAGCTACATGGAAGGCTGAGGCATGAGACTCTCCTGAACCTGGGAGACAGAGGCTGCAGTGAGCCGAGATTGTGCCACTGCATGCCAGCCTGAGCGACACAGAGAAATGCTGTATCAAAAAAAAAAAAAAATTATAATAATAATAAAAATAAAGGAGTGTGGGCTCTGGCCTGGGATCCCAGTTTCATGTCTAATCAGCTGTGTCGCCTTGGAACAATCACTCCGTCTTTCTGAGCCCCTGGATCCTCAGCATAAAATAGGATGATGATGGTGACACCTACCACGTGTGGCTGTTGGGAGCGACCAGTGAGAGGATGCCTGTGAGGCACCGGGGGGTGGGACGGGGGCTCAACACATTCTGGCTGTTCTCGGCAGTCACCCCTGGAGTGACCAGGAACCTGCGGGGAGTGACATGTGCCCTTGGTCTGACTACACTTCATGCTGGCAGGCTCAGCGCCTCCCCTCTCTCTGTTTCCTTACTTGTTCAAAGAGAAACTGGACGAAGCCTGAGGAAGAATCTTCAAATGTCTCCAGGAGTGGGGCAGTAATTTAAATGAGTGAGGGCGGTGCAGGGGAAGGCTGCAGGGAGTGGCGGGGACTGCAGTGCCTAGGGTGCCTGTGTCCCACCCCAGGGAGCAGCCTCCTCTCAGCCCAGCAGCTGTAGCCATGTGGGAGTGAGTCCAGGCTGGTCAGAGATGCTAACTTCTCAAGAGAGGGAAACCCATGCCTTTGTGGGAAAACCTCCATTACTAATGTTAGCAACGCATTAAATATTTTTTTAAAGTATCACGTGTGGCAAAGCTAATGCTTCTGTTGGCAGCAGCCGCCATGACCACTAGGTGACTTTCTCTGCAGGTAAGGTGGGGAGCCACGGAAGGGCTGGGAGCAGAAGCAGCATGCGTTCCAAGCTGGGACCATCTCCAAGCCCTATCTACAACAGTCCCTCCCCTCCCGAGGCCTGTTTTCCTGTGTACCATGGAGGTGGGAAGCCAGACCCTCTCCTTGCTGACATTCTTAGGAGCAGTCTGCTTGGAAGATAGGGGCTGTAACGAGGCCCTGGCTCAGTGCTATCTCACAAGAGGTGCCAGGGAGTCTGGGGGAGCCTGGCTGTGCCAGACGGGGTCTGCTCTGTGTCTGGGAATGGCAGGTCGAGCAGGTCCAGCCGGAGGTGGCTCTTAGAGCTAGTATCAGTGAGGGCCTGGCTCCTGCCTCCTAGCTCTTCAGGGTCAAAGGGCAGCACTTTCAGCCTTTTCTGGGACCAACTTCCTATTTGGGAGAGAAAGCAGACAGATCCCTGGCAGGAAATGACCTTCTTCCCAAAGCCCTGTTTTCCACTGGCGCTGACTTTCCACTGGCCACAAACGGGGAGTCCCCATGGTTGTCTCACGCAGCCCCTCCATCCCCCTCAGAGCCCAGGGGCCTCTTTGCCGTGGCAGCAAACCCACCTCGCTAACATAATTCATTTAGTCTTGGCAACGGACAATTTTTCAGTGCCTGTATTTATTAGCATCCAGCTGGGCTCCTGGGTCTGCCTCTCCCCTCTTCGCAGTCCCCAGGTCTCCTGGTGACCCTGAGACCCAGCACCAGGTGTCCCTGGTGCTCTGAGCACTGTGGCCTCAGGGCTCCCTCTTAACTAGGCCACGCCAAGAGAGAAAATCATTTAGTGCAGCTCTCACCCCCCCGAGCAGGTGGCCCCTTTATCATCTGAATTTAACTCCTCTTTGGTGCCAGGCTGGAGCCCTAGCCTCTCCTTGCACACCCCTAAACACAGGGAGCTCACCACCTTCTTTATGCTAGAATAATTCTGGCAATGCTTCCTTCTGCAGAAAGTAGGCCCGGGTATTGAGAATTTAACTACAGGGTCCTATCAAAAGAGCAGATGCCCTGAAAGCTACCTAGACTGTGAAAGATCAAAAGTGTATACTACTGTGGTTCTTTTTGAGACGGAGTCTTGCTCTGTTGCTCAGGCTGGAGTGCAGTGGTGCGATCTCAGCTCACTGCAAACTCTGCCTCCTGAGTTCAAGTGATTCTCCTGCCTCAGCCTCCCAAGTAGCTGGGATTATAGGTGCCTGCCACCATGCCTAATTTTTGTATTTTTAGTATCGACGGGGTTTCACCATGTTGGCCAGGCTGGTCTTGAACTCCTGACCTCAGGTGATCCACCTGCCTCAGCCTCCCAAAGTGCCAGGATTACAGGCGTGAACCACCATGCCTGACCTGCTACCATGTTTGTAATCACTGTTTCCATCAGATTTAACATAAATCTGCTGGTTATGGAAGGTGTAGAAATTAAGTACCAAAAATAAAACCGCCTGTAATTTTGCTACCTAGGGCAGGGCTGGGGAAAAAAAGAAAAGGGTTTGTTATTTACTGTGTCCACACCTACCTCTAGGTAAACTTCCATCAATCACCTGAACTTCATCCCCTGCGCCCATCTGGCAAATTCCTCCTCTCCAGGGAAAACCTTTAGGTATTTAATATAGCCAACCTTTACTGAGCTCTGGGTTAACCTATCTAATTCTTGTGACAGCTGAGGCATCTTACAAATGAAAAAACTGACGCTCAGAGAGGGCAAGTAACTTCCCAGAGGTTGCACAGCTAATAAGGGGCAGAGACATGAATCCATCGGGTGGCAGAACTGAAGTCTCTAGAGTAGACACGCACTATACTTTCTTCCTCCTCACCACAGGAGTGGATACCAGACTGCTCAGCAGCTCAGATGTTCGTTTATTCATTCTTTGTGGGGTTTTTTTTGAGACCGAGTCTTGCTCTGTTGCCTAGGCTGGAGTGCAATGGTGTGATCTTGGCTCACTGCAACCTCCACCTCCTGGCTTTAAGCGATTCTCCTGCCTCAGCCTCCTGAGTAGCTGAGATTACAGGCGACCGCCACCACACCTGGCTCATTTGTGTGTGTGTGTGTGTGTGTGTTTTTTTTCATTTTTGTGTTTTTAGTAAAGACATGGTTTGGCCAAGTTGCCCAGGCTGGTCTCGAACTGCGGGGCTCAAGTGATTTACCTGCCTTGGACTCCAAAGTGCTGGGATTACAGGTGTGAGCCACCGTGCCTGGCCTCATTCATTCTTTCTTTCTTCTTCACATTGACTCATTTATTAAGTTACTTGACATTCCTGAGCTCTGGTTCAGTGTCAGGTGTAGGCGGATGCCGTCCCCCACATCTCCCGCCCACATCCGCCACACTTTCAGATGCCCCAAGAACTTGAACTTCATTTATTACAAAGAACTGGGTTCACTGCATTGTATGATGAACAGCGAAGCCTAGAGAGGCAGCCCAGGCTGGGGCTCCAACAACCTCCCCCAACATGCCCAGCCCTGCATGAAGTCCTGGGTGGGTGAGGTCACCTGGACTGGGCCTTGGAGCTGTCCTGTATTTATAAAACCAAATGGGTCCAAAGACTCCTGGAGATACATATATATATATATATATATATGACATAGGCTTCCTTTCCACAGGGCGTTTATAGGTGGGACTGTTGACACCATCTCCGGGAGAGAAGAAAGTCGGCTGTGGCAGGGACTGGTCCCAGAGTGAGCCTAGGCGCTGCATCAGTTTGAGTGGCTGGTTAGCCTGGACCCTGGGCAGGTGTGGGACAGCCCATCCTGCCAGCCACAGGAAGCTCTAGGCCACCTGGATTTGCAGGTCCTCGTCCTCGTCCAGGTCGCTGGCTCCATCCCCGGCCTCCTCGGTGCCAAAGCGAGCACTGCGGATCTTCCCGAAGAGGGGAGCGTTCTGCTGCTGCCTGCGGAGCCTGCAGGGTTGGGGTGTCAGGAGGTTAGAGCAGCCTGGCCGGCAGTCCTCCAATAAGGTGGCTGCAGCTGGTGCAGCAGCAGTTAAGCCTTCCCTGGCGCTTTCCCTGCTGTCTCATCTCCTGTAATCTCCTTATATGATAGAGGTGCCATTATCACCCCCATTTTATAAGCAAGGAAACCGAGGCACAGAAAGGTGAAGTCATTCGCTCAAAGTCACACAGATGGTGGGGAGTGGGGCAGAGCTCTGAACTGAAGTGGGTGGTGCCAGAGCAGCTGGGCGGTTAGAGAAGTGAAGGAGTTGGCTCAAGGTCATGCTGCGGGATTTGAACCCAAGCCTGGCTCTCAGAGCACAGGCAGCAGAGTTGGGTGGTGGCGACGGTGGCGGTGGGCTGAGCCCTCTACATTCCCAGTGTCAGTGAGAAAGGGCTCAGCCCCAGTTCTTCCTCACATTAAAATTCCTAAAGTCAAAATTTACGAGCAAAACTTTGACTCTACGAAGAGCTGGTGAAGGAAATGCCGATCCCTCCCCCCACCCCCCAGCAAAGTGGCCACCCCGGCTGCATCTTACTGGAAGGCATGAATTATTAACACGCAAGGGAGGGGCACAGGCGGGGGCTGCCATTACTGCACAGTGATTTAGTGAGCTGTCCCCGGAACATTAAAGCACAGAAAGTTGGAAAATAAAACGACACAGCGGTCCTGGGTGGCCCCACCCTCCCGGATGGAAGCACTTGAGAGGCCCAGCAGAGCCTGCCTGCCCACTTCTGGAGTTTATGGCTCCTGAACAATGTGACCCAGACTGCGGGAAAGCCCCAAGGCTAAGTGGGCTTTTGAAGGGTGTGTCCTGTGGGGTCAGAGTGGGCAAAGCCAGCCAGGCATGGCTCCTGACTTGGACCCATGCCTGGGCCCCTGCGCAACACTTTATGGGCATCATCCCAGGCGGGTGGGGAAATCGAGGCTCAGTTTAGCATGGGACAACGGCTGTCAGGTCTCTGCAGCACATACTCTAAGCCACAAGATCTCAGCAAACAGCAGCATATAGTAAATGCTCAGTAAATAAGGGCTTGGATGGTTGATGGCCAGGGGTGATTCTGCCTGGCCACCCACGAACTGTGTGGCCATGGAAAGACTTACCCTCTTGGGCCTTAGTTTCCTCCTGCCAGCCCCCTAGGAAAAAACATCTTTCCTTTCTCTCAGAAGCAGCGTGATGCTAAGCACAATATGTAACCCAAATATAAGCCCCTCCCCAGCAGTAGTAGTAATAGTAGTAATAGCAGCAGCTGCTGACAATTACTCAGCATTTATTATGTGCCAGGTGTTTTCCTTTCTTTCTTTCTCTCTCTCTCTCTTTCTTTCTGACAGGATCTCACTCTGTCTCCTGGGTTGGAGTGCAGTGGTGTCATCACAGCTCACTACAGCTATGAACTACTGAGTTCAAGTGATCCTCCTGCCTCGGTCTCCCAAGTAGGTGGAGCCACACACCACCATGCCTGGCTATGTTTTGTATTTTCTTGTAGACATGTCTTGCTATGTTGCCCACGGGTCTCGAACTCCTCGTCTCAAGCAATCCTCTTGCCCTGGCCTCCCAAACTATTGGGATTACAGGTGTGAGCTACCACGCCTCACCTCCAGGTACTTTCATAAGAATGGATCAGCTCATTTAATGCTCACAACAATCAAGAGGTAAGAACTATCACCATCCCCATTTTACAGATGAAGAAACTGACACAGAGAGGTTAAATAAGTGTCCCAAGGCCACACAGCTGCTAATGCTGAGCCAGGCTTCACACCATTCAGGCAGTCTGGCTGCAGAACCGGGCAACCTCTATTCCACGAAAGAAGAGAATGCAAGTAAATGCATTCTCAGGGCCCAGCACAGGTCAATTCTGTGAGCCGGCACAGGTCAATGCTGTGGCTTCAATGCTCCTTGGGCCTCCCAGCTGTGAAGTGGGAGGGACCTGGACTGAAGTTTTCTGATATCGCCTGGCTCTGTGATTCACGGAGTGCTGGGAAGGAGACAGGGCTGGGGGAGGGAGGCAGGGCGTGCTGGGTGGGGCCTGTTGGCAGTGGAGGGGATCCAGGCCGGGGGCCCCTGCACGATTTCCTGCTTGCCAGTCTCTCAGATCCCTGATGTCCTGGTGTCACCTGGGCCCAGTAACCCTGAGGACTGCTTATTCTTCTTGTCCCTAACTCTGGAGCCCTGCTGGCCCCACCCACTGCCCCCCCACCCCCTACCCCCGCCAGGGGCCTGACCTCTCCAGCCCGCCCTTCCGGCCCTCACTCCGCCCACCAGCCCTCCCACTAGAGAAGACAATTCCAGGGCCTGCAGCTGGCCTGACTTCCTGCACCCCCTGCCCTGGTTTCCTGGCTCTGGCCCTTCCTGCCCAGAGGGGAAAGGATTCTGGCTCCAGGCACCTGGATCTCTTCCTTCTCCGTCTCCCCCTCCAGCCTTGGTTTGGGCTCCATCCCTGACTGGAGGGTTGCCTGGCTGGAAGTCTCTGCCCTGTTTTTGTTCCCTGCCCGGGGCCCACCTGGACTGCAGGTGCTCCAGTTGCACTTGCAGGTTCTCGCTCTGCTCCGTCTGCTCGTCCAGCGACCGCTGCAGCTTACGTGCCTGGTTGTGGGCCTCGTCCAGCTGCGAGGGGGGTGAGCAGAGCCGAGAGCATGAGGTTCACCCAGGGCTGGGCAAGGCCGGCCACCCGCCCAGGGACAACCACTCCCACCGCTGTTCCCTGAGAAGGTGCTCCTCCCACAGCGTTTGCTCCTTCAGGCCTAGGCTAAGGTTTACCTCTTCCAGAAAAGCATCCCTTCGGTTCCTCTCCATCCCCTTTGCCTCCTCTTGCACATCTACCCATCCTCCCAAGCCCTGCACTACTGATGCAGCCATCCACCTCCTATCAGTCTGTCCATCTGACCATTCGTCCAGGGAGATATTCATCTGCCCACGGAGACAGTCACCCATCACTCCCCATCCATTCATCTAATCCGCTGCCCATCCAGCGTGCCTAGCCATGCCTTCCTGCTCTCCCAGACACACCTATCTTCCCGTCAACCTGGCCTTTCTCCCTCTCCATTCGTTCTTCCACTCACTGACCCAGTCAGCTGTCCATCCGTTTGTCCACTGTCTACCCATCCAGCCATCATCTGTTCATACATCCATTGGAACCACCCATCCATCCGCCCGCCCTGCCTCTCTCTCCCATTCCTCCATCCACTCATTCCTTCATCTATCGGTTGGTTCATCCATGCACACATCCATCTTGTCTTCTGTTCATTTTTCTTCCCATCTTCCCACCCACATGTCTATCCTGCCATCCATTCATCACACACCTACCCACTCTACCCTGGGCACCTCCTGAGAGCCAGGCTTGTGCCGGGCACCAGGGGCTGAGAATGGAGAGGTCAGGAGTGCCCTGCGGCCCCCACTCCTCCCCGGCTGAGGTGTGTGGCTGCCCCTGCCCCTCCGTGGTCCTCACCTCGTCCTCAGCCTGGGCCAGCTCCTTCTTGAGCTCCTCCACCCGAAGCCGCAGCTTCTTCACCTCGGCCTCGTGCTGCTCCACCCGCCGGTTGGCATGTGCCAGCTCTGCCACCTTCTCCTGGAACTGCTTCTTCAGCTTGCCATGCACATGCTTCAAGTCTGCCAGCTCCTGCAGGGCACAGGGATGGGGTGGGAGGGAGGGGGGATCAGTATCAGCCTGGGCGCCATGCCAGGGAGTCCCATGAGGTCAGGCAGTTCTAGGGATGCTGGGTGTCTCTCCTTCCCAGAATCTCTCCATCTGCTGTCTGAAATATCAGCATTAGAGGTTTGGCTGAGAAGCCAGAGGCTGGAGGTGCCTTCTAGGGAGTGAGAAGGCTGGGTGGGTGGAATCTGTGGCTCCAGTTTGAATGTATAACTTTCAGATGCTACTGGATCTGCCCTGGAGCTGTTGAAGCAGAATCGGGGTTTCTGGGGAAGGCTGAGGTCTGGAGTCTTCAGGGGCATATACATGGCATTGAAAGACCTGGGTTGCGAATGAGCTAGGCTGGGGAGTAGGTGGGTGTCTCAGAGCCCAGAGTGGTTGGGGAGAGGAAGGGCAGCCAGCAAAAGAGGTGCCCACTCTGGAGCTCTGTGAGTTCTCCAAGCCTCAGTTTCCATATCTGTAAAATGGGAATAGGCATTGCCTGAAAGTCTCGAGTCCATCCTTTTTGTTCATCTCTACCGACTGCAACCTGGTCCAGGTCTCCTCCCTCTCTTGCTGTCCAGAGGTCAACAGCTTCCCCCCAGTCTGTATTCCCATCCTCTGTCCACACAGCCTGCTCACACTTTCCTCCTGCTTTAAACTCTCTTGAGGAGGCCCACCACTCCTGCCTCACCTACCACATCCCCCCGCTCACTCCCCTCCAGCACACTGGCCTTGTTCCTCCAAAGCTCTGTGTCTCTTTCACCATGGACGTTTATTCATGTTAGTCCTAACTTCTCTCCATCCCCTCCCCTAAATCCACATACTACCAGTCAATAGCTGCTTTTCCTAGAGAACTCAGTTTATTTATTTATTATTCTTTTTTTGAGACAGAGTTTCTCTCTGTCACCCAGGCTGGGGTGCAGTGGTGCAATCTCAGCTCAGTGCAACCTCCGCCTCCTGGTTTCAAGTGATTCTCCTGCCTCAGCCACCCAAGTAGCTGGGATTACAGGCGCCCATCACAATGCTTGGTTAATTTTTGTATTTTTAGTAGAGATGGGGTTTCGCCATGTTAGCCAGACTGGTCCCAAACTGCTGACCTCAGGTGATCCGCCCGCCCCAGCCTCCCAAAGTGCTGAGATTACAGGTGTGTGCCACTGCGCCCAGCTGAGAACTCAGTTTAAAATTCACTGCCTCCAGGAGACATTTCCAGGACCGTGGGCCTAAGCCAGGTCTCCTGGTATCCCCTCTTCTTGCTGGTGACCATGAAGCTGTGTGATTGGCATGAATCTGTGTGACAGAGACAGCCACGTGCACATCCCCCAAGTGAGCCTTCAGCTCCATGAGGGGAAGAGGGGAGGCCACATCTGTCTGCTCAGTGCTGTGTCCCTGGCACCTAGAGTGGAGCCTGGCACACAGTAAGTGCTCAATGAATGTGGCTACTATAATTACTAACTGGTCTAGCACACAAGGTGCTCAATACACGCAGCTACCATAATTATCACCAGGCCTGACACACAGTAGGGAGGCTATGCTCTGGGAGGTGGCGGCCCCAGCACTGGCCACTCCACTCCTTGCCCCACCTTGTTCTTCTCGAAGAGTGCGGCCTGGCTGGCCCTCAGGTCACAGTCCAGTGCACTGGCTGTCTGCCGCCGCCGCCGGGCCAGCGCCTCCTCCAGGTCCCCGACCTGTGCCCGCAGCTTCTTGTTCTCCCGTTCAAGGCCCAGTTTCTCTGTCTCTAGCCGCTCCCGGCGGCCCCACTCCGCGGCATTTTCGGCCTGCAGCCGCTCCATCTGCAGCAGGGCAGGGCAGAGTGAGGACTCCCAGGGGAGGGGGCATGCAGGGCCTGAGCTGGATGCCCCCACCACCTCCTGGAGCCATTTTTGGCTCCAGGAAGCAGATCCAGCTGCACTGGCTATAATTAAGCTGGGCTCATTTCATGGTATACAGGATGTGAGAGCGCTTCTGGCCTCTGTATGGGAGAGAGGCCTGCCTCCTGCAGATCAGGACACCCTTGGATGTGGCTGGCCCCCCTCAGAGCATAGGCCTGGCCCCTGACCTTTTCCCAGTGACCCGCTGATGGAGGCAGGGCCCCAGGACCCCTAAACCCAAGTCCTCCTGGGTCCCATCCATGGCCTCACCTCGCCCCTCAGCTCGGCCATCTTCCGGTCCATGCTGGAGCGTGCACCGAGCTCATCCTCCAGGTCCTCAGACATGCGGCCCAGCTCATCCTGGTGCGCCTCCTTCAGGATGCTGAGCTGCAAGCATAAGGCCCCACCTGCTCATGAGAACCACTAGGATACAGCCTGGAACCAGCTCCAGGGGTAGGCACCAGTGCAGGAGTGCTCAGCGCAGAGCCTGAGGCAGCACCCAAATGGGGCAGGCACCAGGTATTCCAAACAGACCTCGAATCTGACCACTTCCGCTCCTCCCTCATTACTGTCTAGCCTCCCAGTGTCTACTCCTGGCCCTTCTCCGTCAACCCATTTTCCACAACAGCAGCCCAGAGGGAGCTTTTAACAAAGATGAATGCAATCATACCACCCTCCTCCCACGAAGCCTCTGATGGCTCCCAGGTATCTTAGGGTAAAGTCCAGCTCCTCTCTACACTCACAAAGCCCTGCACGATTGGGTACCTACCCACCACTCTCCCCTTAGTTCACTGTACTCCAGGCACCATGGACTCCTTTCTACTCCTCAGACACACCAAGTTCCTGCCCACCACAGGGCCTTTGCACATGCGTGGAACATTCTTTCTGAGACACTTCATAGGATTGATTTTTCTTACTCTCAGACCTTGACCTAAAGGTCCCCTCCTTAGGGATGCCTCCTCTGTCCACCTGGCTTGGAGGAGGGGCCTCCTCATCCCACTCCCCACTGGAAAGCTAGCCTGGGAGGATGGGGAGCTTCTGTGTCTGTCCACTTTTGTGTCGTTGTATGGCCTGGGCACAGGGCTGCCCTCAGTGTATAGTGACTGATTCCAACACTGCTCTGCACACAGATGCATCAAAATTGCTTGGCATGCATTTAAGACAATAACATTTCTTGTGGTATACAGCAAACCCCAACAAACTGCTGCTCCCTGCAACACATGGATGAGTTTTCAACACACAGTGTTGAGGGAGAAACGCCACATACAAAAGAGAACCTTTATAATTTTCTACTAAACTGTACATTTGTGTTTCATTTGCTTTTCTTCAAATGATTATACTTCATAATTTGAAAAGAATAAAAAATAGGGTCCTGGACCCAACCCTGAAAGGTGCTGATTCAGGAGGGTGGAGGTGAGATCTGGGAATCTGTATTTTAGGAGATTTCCTAAGAGATTCTCATGTAAGACTAGTCTCGGTCACCTCCAGGACAGTTTCAGACTCTAAAGGTCTGTGATCCTCCCAGCTGCTAGAAACTGACTGATCCAGTGCGGCGTTCCGTGGGTGGCTGCGCCCTCTGGTGGCCACTGAGGCCTGCACAGGAGGCAGTAGTGGCAACTCAGCCTGCTCTGAGCCCCCACACCTGCACTGTAGCCTCAGTTTCCCCATCTGTAAGGTAGGGATATGAGGACTCAGCTCCCTGGACTGCCATGAGGCTTCAGTGACACCTAGTACAGATAGGAACCCAATGAACGCCACATCCAGACTCCTCCTCTTCATCTTGGTCTACAAGGCCCCCTCCTGCGGCCTCGCCTCTCACTTCCTGCTCTCCAGACACTTGGCCCTCCCTGTTTCCTGCACGTGCTGGGCTTGTTCCTGCCTCAGGACTTTGGCATCGCTGTGCCTTCTGCCAGGAACACTCTCCCCTGTATCTTCTCAAGGACAGCTTCCTCTAGCCCCTTTAGGTCTTGCCTCAAATGCCACCTTCTTAGGCTTTTCCTGACTTACCAGCCCATCTCTCTCATTCTGTTTTGACTCTCTCATAACTCATGAATCTGCCTGGTGACTGTCGGTCTCCCCTGCCCTCAGCCCCCACAAAGTGAGCTCCTGAAGGCAGGGACCGTGCCTGCCCAACACTCAGAACAACTCAGAATTAAATAAATAAATAAATACATAAGGCCAGGCACGGTGGCTCACACCTGTAATCCCAGCACTTTGGAGGCTGAGGCAGAAGGATCACTTGGGTTTAGAAGTTCGAGACCAGCCTGGCCAACATGGTGAAACCCTGTCTCTACTAAAAATACAAAAATTAGCCGGGCGTGGTTGTGGGCGCCTGTAATCCCAGCTATTCGGGAAGCTGAGGCATGAGAATCACTTGAACCTGGGAGGTGGAGGTTGCAGTGAGCTGAGATCACACCACTGCACTCTAGCCTAGGCGACAGAGTAAGACTCCGTCTCAAAAAAAAAAAAAAAAAAAAACGACTGTCAGATGGTCAGATGAATTAATGAATGAATTATCTCTTCTATTTCCACTACTGAAATTCAACAGTGTGATCCTGCCACCTCCAGGAAGCCCCTCTGGTCTCCAAGACTCACCTGCTTGAGCATCTCCTGCTTGGTCTTGCTCAGCTCCTCATACTTGATCTTCCACTGGCTGAGCTCCCCCTCTAGCTTCTCAATGTTCCTGCTCAATGCCAGTTTATCCCTAGGGAAGGGACAGACACAGGGGTGAGCCCACCGAGGCCCTCTGCTTGGAGTCCTCACCAAGGGTGGCCCTGCCGTGTACCCTCTGCACTTGTTGAGCCCAAGTCCAAAATCCTTGCCTTGGTATTCAGGCCCAGGCACCCTATGTGGCTACAAGCACCCTGGCTTTGCAGTTCTCCTGGAACTGCATTCCCTATCCAAGTGCAAGTGCCCTGCTCACATTGCGGGGAGGTGGTTGGGGTTCCAGAGCACTGAGCATCCCCGGGCAAGAACCTCTCTCCTGCTGTACTCCAGGCTCATCTGAAAATGGCTCCAGGAGGTGGCAGCCCCAGCACTGACCACTCCACTCCTTGCCCCACCTTGTTCTTCTCGAAGAGCTGTCAAAGACCACCCTGCTCCTGTCTGTTTTGTAGACTATGTTCCCTGCAAGGCTTGGTCTGAACACATGGTTCTGCAAATAGAAACACTGGAAAACACGGTCCAGTGACCCGGAGAGAGGGTCATCTCTTGCCATCGTCACTGTGTGGGATCCCTACATCCTCCCATAACCGCCACCCTGCCTTGATCTTGAATGAGGCACTGTAGGTAACAAGCATGATGCCTGGCCCTGGCAGAGTAGGCGCTCACCAATGGCTGAGCTCAGCATCACCTTCCAGCACGCTGCCCTTCATAACCCCACACCACACTGGCCTCTCTGAGAGTGGAAAACTCCATGCCTCCAACATGGGGTTCCCAGAGGGGACGTCACCCTGTAGGAGGCATGTTGAAAACCCATGGGGACATTGTTGGCTATCCCCGTGATTAGGGGTCATTTAGTGGGCGGGGGCCAGGGTGCCTGACTCCCTGCAATGCCCTGGGCGTTCTGCCCATCAGGATGCATTCTGCATCCTACCGAATGCACGCACAGCCCACTGGACATTGCTCAGGGTGGAGATGAGCTGAGCCTAGAGCCTCACTCTGATTTACATCGAAACAGAAAGTAATGTTTATACTAACATACACTGAATTTTCTAGGAATGGAATCACTGTATGAACTGAGGGAAGACTGCACTTTTCTTTGTTTTTAGAGACAGGATCTGGCTCTGCATTCCAGAGACTGGAGCGCCGATCACAGCTCACTCCCTGGAACCGCACTCCCTACCCAAGGGCAAGTGCCCAGCTCATACTGTGGGGAGGGGGTCAAGGCTCCAGAGCACTGGGCATGTCTGGGCAAGTACCTCCCTCCCGCTCTACCCCAGGTTTGTCTGTCAAAGACCACCCTGTTCCTGTCTGTTCACAGCTCACTGCAACCCTGAACTCCTGGGCTCAAGCGATTGTGCCACCTCGAGCTCCCAAAGTACTGGGATAACAGGCGTGAGCCACTGTGCCTGGCTGCACTTTTCTTTGTTCAGAACTTTACCAAAGGTTGTTCGTCTCTCAAGAAACCTCATCCTCACAGTGACACTACTTGTGTCTTTGAGTTGCTAACTCTGCACATCTGCATGAGCCGCCTTTGTAGCTGTCCTGCAAGGTGACTTAAATGTGCAGATACATGTAAGCCTTCAACACAGCACCTGACTCAGAGCATGTGCTACGTGTTTGCTGTTGTAACTATCGTCACTATCATCCCATGTAAAGACACCCACTCTGACCACTTCATCATTTCTTCTGGAGGAGCTAGCCCAAGCCCTTCCATATCACAACATGTGTATTTTAAGTTACTTTCAGGCTGGGTGCAGTGACTCATACTGTAATCCTAGCACTTTGGGAGGCCAAGGCAGGTGGACTGCCTGAGCTCAGGAGTTCAAGAGCAGCCTGGGCAACAAGGTGAAACCCTGCCTCTACTAAAAATACAAAAAATTAGCTGGGCGTGGTGGTGTGTGCCTGTAGTCCTAGCTACTCAGGAGGCTGACGCATGAGAATGGCTTGAACCAGGGAGACAGAGATTGTAGTGAGCCGAGATAGCGCCACCGTACTCCAGCCTGGGCAACAGAGTGAGACTCTGTCTCCAAAAAAAAAAAAAAAAGTTACTTTCACTTCTACTTTATATTTCAGTTAGTGCACTAGGTTGATTTTTTTGCTTGTTTGGCTTAAACAGTCAAAATTTATTCTCTCATATTTCTAGAGGCTAGAAGTCCAAGATCTAGTTGTTGGCAGGGCTGGTTCTCTGAGGGCTGCGAGAAAGAATCTGTTCCATGCGTCTCCCCCAGCTTCTGGCAGTTTGCTGGCCATCTTTGGTATTCCTTGACCAAATATGCAACGATGTCCACAGAAGCATCATCCTGATCTCTGCCTACATCTTCACAGAGGCATGATACTGATTTTTTTTTTTTGAGACAGTGTCTCTCTCTGTCACCTAAGCTGGAGGGTACTGGTGCAATCATACAATCATAGCTCCCTCAGCCTCGATCTCCTGGGCTCGAGCCACCCTCCCGCCTCAGCCTTCCAAGTAGCTGGGACTACAGTGGCACAGCACTATTCCCAGCTATTTTTTTTTTTTTTTTTTTTTTTGTAGGCTGGGCACAATGGCTCATGCCTGTATTCCCAGCACTATGGGAAGCTGAGGTGGGTGGATTACCTGAGGTCAGGAGTTCGAGACCAGCCTGGCCAACATGGTAAAACTCTGTCTCTACTAAAAATACAAAAATTAGCCAGGTCTGGTGGCACATGCCTGTAATCCCAGTTACTCAGGAGGCTGAGGCAAGAGAATCACTTGAACATGGGAGGCAGAGGTTACAGTGAGCCGAGACTGTGCTACTATACTCCAGCCTGGGCGACAGAGTAACGCTCTGTCTTTTTTTGTAGAGACAGGGTCTTGCTGTGTGGCCCAGGCTGGTCTCAAGCAATTCTCCTGCCTTGGAATCCCAAAGTGCTAAGATTACAGGCATAAGTCACTGCACCTGGCCATTATATTGATTTTTTAAAAAAGGGGTATGTAGATAGGTTATGCTATTGATGTATTTAATTTCTGGACAGAAAAACTGCAGAATATTCATTATCATCAAGCTCGTGCCCTCTAAACTGCCCTGATCAAGGTCACTGGTTACCTCCACATTCTAAATCCAATGGTCAGGGCTCAGCCCTGTTCTTACTGATCACTGTGTCCTCCAGGAAACCGTTTCTTGTGGTTCCCCTTCCCCAGCCCGGCTTCCTTCTCTTGTCTCCTCTGCTGTTTCCCTTTCCTCTAACAGACCTCTAAACTTGGCACTTCAGGGCTGGATCCTCTGACCTCTTCCCTATCCACACTCACTCCTTGGCCCTTGGCCAGGCTCATGGGTTTTTTTTTTTTTTTAATATACAGAATCTTGCTCTGTTGCCCAGGCTGGAGTGCAGTGGCACAATTCTGGCTCACTGCAACCTCCACCTCCCGGCTTCAAGCAATTCTTTTGCCTCAGCCTCCTGGGTAGCTGGTATTACAGGTGCCTGCCACCATGCCTGGCTAACTTTTGCATTTTTAGTAGAGATGGGGTTTCACCATGTTGGTCAGGTGGGTCTCGAACTCCTGACCTCAAGTGATCTGCCCACCTCAGCCTCCCAAAGTGCTGGGATTACAGGTGAGCCACCGCACCCGGCCCAGCTCATGGCTTTCAATATCATCTCTTCACTGGTGACTCTTGCATTTTTACCTCCAGCACAGGACCGTCTCATGAACTCCAGACTCATTCACTTCCCCAGCTGCCTCCCTGCCATCTCAAACTCACAGGTACAAAACCAAGGTCCCAGCTGCAACCTACCAACTTCCCTGTCTCTATTCCCTGCTTTTACCCTGCCCACAGCCCTCTCCCCCAGCTAGAAAGTAAGTTTCAGGAAGGCAAGGGCTTCTGTCTTATTTATGGCTGTATCCTCAGGGCTGAGCACAGTGCCTGGTCCAGAACAGGTGCCCAGTAACGTATTATCTGAATGAAGAAATAAAAACTTGCATTGAGTTCTCGGGTGGAACACCACTGCTCTACAGTTCCAAGACACAGCCTAAACACTACCTGTCATCTTCGCGAGTCTAAAGTTCTGTCATTCTGAGGGTGCTCACCTGGCCCTGCCCCTGCCCCCTCCTGCCTCCCACGACTCACTCTCGCTCCTTGAGCAGCACCTTCTGGGACTCATCCAGTCGTAGCCGCAGGGCAGTCAACTTGGAGGCCTCCTCCTCTGTGGCAGCTGTGTCCTCCCAGGGCAGCCGGCTCCGCTCCTGGCGGCCTGAGCTGCCCCGCGGGCCCCCGGCCCCAACGCTGCGTGCCTCCCAGCAGTCCTCAGACTCCTCCGGCATGCTCTTCAGCAGGCTCTCCACCAGCTCCAGTTCCTGCGGGGACCAAGGTGGAGGCTGGAGCAGTGGCCGCCAAGCCAGGCCCTGGGTCTGAGATCAGCTTGATGGGTAATCTTGGGCAAGTCACACAGTGTCTTTGGGCCTCAGTTTCCTCTTCTGCTGCCTGCCTCTCCAGCTCTGGAGAAGGAAGACACGCCCTGCTCTGGGCCTCCCCCTTCACCTCCTGGAGCTGCAGTGTCAGCCGCCATGCTTCCCTGTATCCTAGAAGATTCCCCAGGAGAGGTGGTGAGCTCCCTGTCACCGGAAGTATGCAAACCTATAGTGGGGCACTGATGGGAACAAATGTTGAAGCAGGAATTCCTGTAATGGTGTAAGCCTAGATTCCTTCCAAAGGAATTCCAGCTCTAAGATCCTGTTTTTTTAGGGGCAAACAGTAAGGCATGGGGCGACCGGTGACATGGGCAAGCAGTGCCTGTGAGGACAGCCAGCTCTCAGACAGGAAGCAGTGAGAAATTATGAACCCAGGACCGAGACCCCTTCCCCCTTGCCATCCTCCCCTTCTTCTCTGCCCCTGCCATCCCCAAGGCCTGTCTCTGACACAAACCCACAAGGACCACAGCCCCTGTTCCAGCTTCTCCCACAGCCTTTCCAGATGAATCCGGGCCAACCTCTTCCTGGCCCAGCCCTCGGTTTCTCTAGCTGGACTGCAGTGGTGGCCCTGAGGACTCCCTGAGGAGTGAGAGCTACTCTTCTGTATCTCAGATTATCCAGGTGGGGGTGGCAACTGGTTCAAAGCCCCGTTTTACGAATGGAGAACAGGGAGAGATAGGACTTGTTCTGGGCCACAGCATGAAGAGGCTGGGCTGGAGGACAAACTCAGACTGCAAGCCTAGGGCTCCTGCGACTGCCCACAACCCTCTGGCCTGTGACGGACAACTGGAACAAGGATAGGACAGGAACGCATTGTGCACAGTGAACACCACCTCCAAACACCAGGTCGCCCCAGGGAAGAGGGGACTTCAGCCACAGGAGGCAGCAGTGCCCCAGCTAGCCTATGGGGTGGAGGGGGCTGGGCAGGAGAGAGGAGGGGGCAGTCTTATCTGGAAGAGTTGGCCTGTCCAGGGACTGAGCTGGGGACTGAGCTGGGGAGCTGAGCTTGGACCCTGCCCCTAGGTGGTTTCCTGGTAACAGGCCTGCTGGCTCAGGAGAGGGTGCCCTCTGCAGCAGTATAATCATATTTCACTGCAACCTCGACCTCCTGGGCTCAAGGGATCCTCCTGCCACAGTCACAGCCTCCCAAGCAGCTGGTACTCCAGGTACGAGTCACGTCGTCCTGCCCTCCTGGCACTTTTCACAGCTAATTCCTACTTACCATTCTAGTCTCAGCTTGAATGTGCCCTCTTCCAGGAAAGCTTCTGTGAAGCCTGCGTCAGGGACCTCCTCTGTGATCCCAGTGCCCTGATTTCCCCCACCGCTCAGCTCTGATTGAATCAATGGATTCAGCTCTGCTACGAATCAGCTAACTTCCATGCAAGCTGCTGGATCCCTCTCCTGCTCAAAGGGGATGATTCCTTGGTTCTGTTGACTTATCAGGTGTGGGAGTGGAGATATCACAGAACTTGGGATTCTCCACCCTGAGGTCTCCAGAAGGAAGATGATGTGAGGCCCCACAAGGGTAGAACCCGACCTGGAGAAGTGAAACCTCCAGGAGGCCAGGCCTTTACTAGCTTGTTTCTGAGCCCAGCAGCTCAGGCCAATCGGCCCCGCCCACTTCGAGACTGGGGCGCGAACGCCCCGCCCGCGCCGCGCACCTGGCTGCTGGGCGGCCTCTCGGATCCGACGTCACGCACTGGCTCGCGCTCCGCCTCCGGCTCGGGGCCGTCGCGCATCTGGTCGGCGACGCCTCTGGCGCCCCTCAGCCGCGCCAGCTCGCGGCCCCGTGCCTCGCACTCTCCCTGTGCCTCCTGGCGCTCGCGCCGTGCGCCCGCCAGCTCTTTGGTGAGCGCGTCCAGGCGCTGGCGCAGCTGGCGCACCTCTTCGCGCGCGCGGTTGCGCTCAGCGCGCACCTTGCTCCACTTCTCGCGCCAATTGGCAGTGCAGTCCGACCACCAGCGCATGGTCTTCTCCATCTGCGCCGCCCGCGCCCGCGCCTCCTCCAACTCCCGCAGCCGCAGCTCCTCGCGGCTCTCCCAGTCGCCGTCGGCCAGCAGCGCGGGCGCGGGGGGCAGGGGCAGCGCGGGGGGCGGCCCGGGCGAGGGCGTGCCGCTGGGCGGCGTGGGCGGCAGGGAGTCGGCAGGCCCCATGCGCTCCGGCGATGGGCTGCCCAGGATGGTCAGGAGGCTACCCTTGGACAGCTGCGGGGATTCGGCCAGCCGGGGGCTGGGCCCGTGGCTCATGGTGCGGCCGGGCGGGCCCTGGGCTCGAACTCGCGGCCGGGCTCAGGGGCGGCTCCGGGGATCCGCGGCGGACGCGATACCACTGTGCATGATGGCGCCGCGACCCGCTTCTCTCCGGGCCACAGGGTGGAGGACGCCTCCTCGGATCTGCGGAAGAACGCAACCGTTATTGGACTGACCACCGTCCTTCTGGAAGATCAGCCGCGCTAAGGGCCAGGCGGAGAGAACAGAACGGCCAAGGTGGGAGGAGTGAGTTCTGTTCCAGGAGAGTCCCAGTGAGGCAGGATTGGTGGAGCAAGGGCCCGCAAAGGCCTCATCGGTGGCCTCCAGACTCCCGTTCCAATCCCTTCACCTAGCGGCGCTGATCTGAAACCTTGATCTGTTCTTTATCATACAGGTCCCATCTCGAACACTGATGGCTTATACTATACTACTATCCCACTTCCGCACGGGACTCACGCAGGGGCACTGGGCTGGTGCCAGGAGCCTGCCTCTTCCTGCACTGGGCTAACTCTTCTTTAAAATTCTTCTGAGATATCACCTCCTCCTGGAAGCCCTCCTGGAGCACCTCAGGTCAGGTCCATCAGCCCTTTATGTGTCTCCATCACTGCACTAACTTACCCTGTCATTTATGTGTCTGCTCTGTACCCTTAACCCAAGGCTGTGAGAGTTTGCTGTGGTCTAGGACTGGGTCGTGGCCACTGTTTTAGTCCCAACACATGATGACAATGATATTTGTGGAGGGCAGGCCACAAGCCAGGCATTGTGCCCAGGGCTTTAGGTGAACGATCTCATTTATTCCTTAAAGAGTGGAGGTGAAGAAAATGATTATCTCTATTTATGGTATCTATGAGTCCAAATGCAAACTCTAGTAAGGATTTGCTGAATGAATGCACGCGCTGGGGATGATGATGGAAATAAACCAGTCCTCAGATGGCACGGGCTTCTGAGAGTACAGCAGGATGTACTCTCCTTCTCTGCCAGAACCACCCCTCCCTGACTCCCTGACACCCTGACTCACTGCAAACATCTCTGTTGTTCTCTGTGTCTCACTTCAGCCTCCCCATCGCCCAGCAATGGGCTCTGCCATTTATGGGCCATGCCTCTGCCTTAAAATAAATGAGAGGCATGTCCTTCTCTGTCCCCAGTCTGACCCAGTCTCCCTCCATTGTGGCCTCTGCTGACTGCCACCCACCAATAGCCCCTTGGGACACCTTTCCATCCCCATTAGGCAGAGAGCCCTGGTCCACAGATCTTCACACCTGCCCCGAAGACCCACCCTTTCTGAGTGATCAGTGCACTGTCGGTAGGACTCTCAGCACTGGCTGTCCCCAAGGCTGCCTGGCAGCCTTCTGTGTCCCCTCTCCACCCTCTTCCAATCTCTAACCCACCTCATTCTTGGCAGATGATCTAACGTCAGGGTTTGCAGTGAAAAAGGAAGCTGTCAAGCCCCACGGCCCCCTCCTCTCTGCCCCTGAGAGGACAGAGGGGTTCTCCTTGAGCCGAAGGCCACCTCCTGCCTGTCCCACACTAGCCAGTGACGTCCTCTCCAGGGGCCTTACCCCTGCTGAAGTGTCTCCTGACACCTTCTTCTCCCCTCCCCTGGCTCCTCCCTTTTAAGGCCCTTCCAAAGTGGTCCACACTTACTGTCTCCACTCCATCTACCTCCTTGGCGCTCTGTCACCCAGCCACCTATGGCAGGCTGGTTTCCAGTCCCCTGTGACGGTGTGCCCTGTGGACCTACCATGGCACCTGCTTCCCTGCCTCACTTGTTCCACGTCTTCCTCTCCAGGTTTCCCCTCCTCTCCAGCTGCTCGTCAGCCTCCCAGGTGGACCCCCTGGGCTTAACCCTCGACTGCTGCTGTCATCCAGCCCTGGGCCCCCTTCTCCTCTCACGCTATCCCTGCCGGAGCCATCTCGCTATGTCCTCAACCGCGAGTCTCTCTCCAGCCCAGGTTGCCCTCAGAGCCTGCCATACTTCCATCCAGATGCGGGATAGACGACTCAGGCTCGTCTCGGTCAAAATGGAATTTGCTGCCTCCATTCCCCCCATGACCAGCTCCTTCTGGGTGCTCCTCAGGGAGAAGGCACTTCCTCACTCCTTCCAGCTGTGGGGGCCCCTGAAATCTGCCTTCTCTCCTCCCCCACCCACCGCCAAACCTTGTCAGTCTGTCTGCCTTGCATCTACCTTCCATCCACCTTCTTTGTCCACAGTCACTAACCTGTCAGGGTCCACACCACCTTCACTCACCTGGGCAACAGTACCCATACCCACCTCCCTGCCCATCATGCACTTTTGCCTCCTTCAAATCTGTTCTCAAAAGCAACAGCCAGAGTTGCTTATAAGAACTTGACCACTCTGGTGGCCACCCCTTGTGTCATTACCAATACCGATTCCTCCCTAGCCTCAATTCTAAGGTTACTCCTTCTAGGATTCAACTCCAAATACTCTCCAATCCCAGCAAGGAGCCACAAGCCACTGATCCTACCACTGCACTGCCCACCCCCATGTCCCTCTCCTTCCCAGCTCACCTTCTGTGCTCCTCATCTCTCCCTTGCCAGCCCCCTCCGTGCCCTAGGCCCCTCCTGTTGTGGACTGTCCTGGCAAACACCAACCCTGTTCCCTCCACTGCTTTGCCTGCGCTTACCTTCAACTGTGGAGCCGGGCATTGGAGGTTTACACCACCACGTGGAGCAGTATTTTTAAAAATTCATGACCTTTTGTCAAGGTTCCTCCGTGCTGCTCAGCGACTCCACTGCATTTCTCTAGGCCATTTGCTGTTCGTTTATTGTCTGTCTGCCTTTACCATGCATGAGGTCTAGGCCCAGCTCTGACACCAACCTTATGTAAGCCACTGTCCCTTTCTGGGCTTCAGTTTCCCCATGTGTAGAAGGGAGGACGTGTGAGAGAGACCACTGCTTCTTCATCAGGGTATCCTTCAGATTCACCCGGACACTTGGCCCCATACCCGAGAGAGTCATGTTTGGTAGGTGTGGAGCTGAGAATTTGCATTTTAATCGTTTGGGGTATTTGAGTATTTGGCGTTGCTTTCTTACTACCCACAGTTCCATAAACACAACGTGTACATCCTGACCCTGATAACATCTGTGTCACACACCCAGATACAGCCATACAGATCCAGGCACTGATACCCCGGGAGATCCCTAGCAGCCTGTGCCTCTGTGACTCAGTCTCTCCACCTGTGCAGTGAGCTCGCTGGCCTTGATGCCCGTGTGTGTTCACAAACATCTGTGCACACACAGACATGCAATCCCATGCACAGATGCGAAGACCCAGGGGCAGATACACATATGCTCAGATGGACCGACAGGCACACACAACTACACGGGTGCATGGAGAGACATTCGCCTGTAGACACAGACACACCTGAAGACACACACATGCCAGCACACTGACACACAGGTACAAGGACATGCAAGGAGACACGCTCATCCCCAGGAGAAGTAGATACACACACACGCACACACACACGCACACGCAGACACGCACACTCCTCATTTTCCTGGCCTAGCTGCACATAGAGAAGCTCTTGGAAAAGAAAAACAATGTGAGAGCCTGCGGGGGAAGGGGGGAGGAGGAGGAGGAGGCAGGAAACCCGAGTGCCAGCCAGCAGCTGTGCTGGGTATGGGGGCCTGGGCCCTGTTGCCTGGGCCCTTCCCGCAGCCCCTGAACTAGGAGCCTGGCAGGGAGGGGGTCATTGCCACATCCTCCCTGCCTCTGGGAGCTGCCAGGCCTGGCACAGGGCTTGGCCCGGAGAGGGCCACCGGCTCCTTCCAGGAATCCAAGCCTGTTGCGCAGGGCCAGGGCAGGCACCACCCAGGCCCCTAATGGCTTCCAGGCACCCATGCTAAAGGCAGAGATGGGGGATCCAGACTCAGCTCGTTCTCCTTCCCAGCGTCCTGGCCAGGCCCCTCCTAGGAGGAAGGAGGAGAAAGGGGCACAGCAGGGCAGGGAGGTTTTGCAACAGCACTCCCACCTTTGTACTTCAGGCCCAGGGTCCCCTGGAGCGGGTGTGTGGGAAGGGGTGGGGTCAGGGTCCTCAGGAGTTTTCTGGAGAAGCCCACCCCGCCCCCAGCACACCAGGAATCCTGCACTCCCACATAGACCCAAGGGCAGCCAGACCCTGCCTAGCAACACCTCCCCCCATCCCTCCCTACTCATACAGCACAGCCCTGGGGACACACACACACAGCCCCAGTAACGCACACACACACACACAGTAACGCATACACACACACACACAGCCCTGGGGACCCGCATTCACACACAGCCCCAGTAATGGCCACACTCACACACACAGCCCCAGTAACTCTGCACGCCACACACACATAGCTCCCGGTAATGCACACACTCACACACAGCCCTGGGGGACCCAGACCACACACAGCCCCAGTAACCTGCACCTCACACACACACACACACAGCCCCTGGGGACCCATTCACACACAGCCCCAGTAACCTGCACACTCACACACACATAGGCCCGGTAATGCACACACTCACATGCAGCCCCAGTAACACGTGCACACTCACACTCACACACAGCCCCAGTAATGCACGCACACACTGAGGGGCAGCAGCAGCGCAGAGCGTGGCCCACAGTCATGGAGATGCCCCAGCTGCCCCGCCCACCCCTTCCAGCAGGCTCAGTGCCCTCTTTCCATGAGGTGTGTATGTGTGTGGGGTGGGGCCTCCTGTTCCCTTGGCATCACTGCCTCACCAAGGGGCAGGTCACGGTGGGACCAGCCACCACAGGCCCCAGGGAGCCTTTCCTATCCCACTCTCTCTTGTCCTGCCTCCCAACAGCCAGACGGGGCTGTTACTGCTTTAAGTCTCTGGGTTTATATTCCAAATGCCCCTGTCCCAGACTCCAGAACCCCCACCCATCTGCAAGTTCAGCTGCCACCAACTCCAGGAAATGCCTTGATCTCCCCAACCACCCCCCCAACCTGGGGAGCACAGCCCTACAACCTCCCACAGCCGGGCCTGGCAAGCTGCCGTCTCCTGGCAGTACAGGCTTCCCCTATCCAGATGGGACACTCGTGCCACTTAGAGCTTCTAGGACAGGCCCCACAGATACTAACTGATTAATGCTAGCTGGTGGGCTGGAGAGCAGAAGACTGAATTATGACCTTACATCCCCTTAGCTGGGCAGCAAAGCTGAGTAGGAACCAGGGCTCCTGAACCCCAGCCTCACAGCTGTGCTCACTGGTAGCTCACTCCAGGACAGAAACAGGAATATTTTGGTCTGACACTTGCTCCAGGCTAGGCCCTCATCAGCCCTGCCCACAGAAAGTGACCAGTGGTTCCTGTTGCTTGTGGACTTGTCTGGAATATCTCTCCTTCCTTCATCAGGAAACTCCTACACATCCTTCAAAACCCACCTCCAGTGTCCCCTCCCCTGGGAAGCCTTTAACCTCTGCAGAGAGTATGCTCCCAAAGCACCAGGCACCTCCCTGTTCTACAGCAAAGCCTTCACTTTGAAGTCCACAAGTGAGGGCATCAGCACTGGGCCCAGCATACAGCAGATGCATGAGGGATGGAAGGTACCCCTAAGAAGGTAGTACCACTCTTAGGGGTACCCTTGTGACCATGCAGAGTTTGGGAAGGCTGAGTCATCCTAAGGATCAGGAGTCAGTCTGTGGCCAGGCTCTGAGACAGGTAGGTATCTGAGCCTGTCTGTGGCCATGGTCGGAGTAAGAGGTCGTCTCACGGCCAGGTCAGCTGTCCCACCTTTTACCTGGGGAAGCCTAATTGACCCAGAGGGAAACAATGTTGTGTTTTGTCCTCAGAATGTTTGGATGGGTCTCTCCATATCCAGTGAGAAGAATGAGTAATGCCAAGGCCTGGACAGGGGCCAGCTGAAGGGATGGGGAGCCCAGTGGCCCAACCCCTTCCCCCAGGTCTGAAACCCTGTAGATCCTCCCAGAGCCTTTCAGGTAGGGCCCTGGGACAAGCCCATGGCCACAGGCCTGGCTGCGGACAGAAAGCAGAGCCCAGTGGGAAACCACAGAGGACAGCCTGATTGAATAAGTGCAGGGCCCAAGGCTGGTCAGCCCACAGACTGCGGGCACCTGTCCCTGTGACCTGCTGCCCAGGCTCCAGCTGTAGGACCTCTTGGGGGAGCTGGCTGGCGGGGAGGGAAGGGATGGAGGCTAGGCCTCCAGGCTGGACCTGAGCCCGGGGGTAGGCACCCCTGGTCTGTTCCCAGGTACCCCTATCTTAGACTGAGGAGCCACAGAGACAGCCTGGATCACTGATTTGAACTCCTTTCTTTACAGATGAACCAACTGAGGCCCAGAGGTACAGCTACGTGTCTGTGTCCACACCGTAGACCAGCAGAAAGGCCAGGGTAGGGAGCTGGAGATGGGATGCTTCCTCTCCTGGGTCTTGACCACCTGAGGGGCACAATGCCCACCTACACGATGTGGGTACTACACGATGAGGGGCACAGTGCCCACCTACACAGAGCACCTACACGATGGGGTCAGCAGGCACCAGGCGAAGTGGATACGCACAGCTGGGATGGCGGCGTGAACCTTCATGGGAGCCGACCCCGACCCCAGCCCCACCCCTCTCGGCAACACCGTGAACTTGTCACTCTTGCACAGCAGACATCCCACTAGTCCCAGCTCCGTCACTGATATGCTGTGTGATATCTGCAAGTCTCTGCCCTCTCTGGGCCTCAGTTTCCCTACCTACAGGATGGGGAGAGGCACTAAAAAGATTCCTGAACGCTCTAACAGGTGGGCAGACCTCGCCAACCCAAATCAATCCAACCCCCACAAAAGCCCTGGCAGAGCGGGGGTGGGGAGGTAGACACTACCCCCATCTAAGGTAGAGAAACTGAAGCCCCAGCGCTGCGTCGTCTTAGTCCTCACTTAGTCGCCCCCTCCTAGGCTGCCGGCCCTGCTAGCCGCCCGGCTCCCCCGAGCGGCGGGCGGAGGGTGGAGGGGGTTCCCGGCCCGTGCGGCGCGGTCCCGCCCACCCCACCGCAAGGCCCCCATTGGCAGCCGCCGCGGCTCTGGGCAGAGCGCCGTGTTCTGATTGGCCAGCGCCGCCCGTCCATCCCGCATTCGCCATGGCTACCACGTTGGGTCCCCCGGGAGAGTTCCAAATTCCGTCCCCGCCCGCCGCCCCCTCCCGTCCGGCCCGGGCCGCGGCATTCCGGAGGCGCCTCCCCTCCCCCATCTCCCCGCGGCCCCTCCCCACTGGAGACCTGGGGTTCCAGGGGGTGAGGGAGTCCGGGGAGGGGTCTAGAAAGTTCTGCTCTGAGTTCGGGGGTTGCCGCGGGCGCCCCGACTGTGTCTGCTCCTCCAGCACGCCCCACAACTTAACCCCTTCTTTCCCGCGGAAGGCGCGCGGCCTGGAGCAAGTTCCCGGGCAGCTGTGGCCTGCCGCCCCCCGCCTGCCGCCCCCACTCACCTCGGGCCGAGACCCGCGGGCTCCGGCCGTCCGAGCCGCCGCGGCGGGGTGGAGCGGGCACAGTGCAGCGGCGACCGCCGCTGGAGGGGCCGAGGGAGGGCCGCGGAGTCTCCTCCTCCCTCCTGGGGGGAGGGGAAGCAGGGGGAGCGGCGGGGCCCCCGAGGCGGTCGCAGGCTGCGGCCCCGCTGTGACCCCGGCCCGCCAAGCTGCTGGGGTGAGGGCTCTAGCCTAACTTCGGGGCGAGGGGTGCGGGCCGGGGCGGTGGGCTCTGCTGCAGAGCTGGCCGGACCCCGATGGAGGCCCCACCCCCATGAGGGGCCGAGAGTGGGGGGGGCTCGGCTTTCTTGGTTCAGGTTTCCTCAGCGCCAACTAGGTACGAGGCGCCCCCCACAGAAACGGGCACCGCGGGTCCCAGCTCGGCACGTGGAGCGAGCTTACCAAGTCTTCACTGTTGTTAGTTGCATTCTTCCCTGGGCCAGCTCTGCCACCAAGTGGACGTGGGCCAACAAGTCTGTACCCATCGGGCCTCAGTTTCTCCTTCTGTACAACAAAAGGGTTGACGAAAGCAGCCTCGCGCTTAAGAAGTGGGGGGCGCGGGGAGCACTCGGCCCGGCGGGCAGAGGCTTTTCTCCGCATCGCGATGGTGGTTAGCAGGCCCTGGGGAATTACGGTAATGCACCTTCGGGGGCGCCCGTATGTTTTGGGGGTAGGGTGTTTGTGATCTTGGCTGGAAAGCGGGGACAGGCGTCTGGAGGACTCCCCACCACATCCTGTACCCTGGAAGGCCCCCGAGGTGAATCTATTTAAAAGAAGACCAAAAATTCACCAAGACAGTGGAAAAAGCCAGCCTGATTGGGATTTTACCTAGAAAAAGAAGCTAAATATTACAAAGATAAGTTAGTTTTACCCCATGATTAACAGAGTTTAGATTATGATTGCAACCACGCACGCCTTAGAATGAACCAAGAATGAATCAAATGTTAACACTGGAAGTCTTATTTTTTCTTGTAGTAGTTGAGTATGTAGCATCCTTCCCTTCTGATTTGGTTTTTGCAGTAAGAGTCATTTTTGCAAAAATATTTGAAAGCTTCCTCAAACTCTAGGATCACTCTGAATCCTTTGATAGTCCAGTGATTTTTTTCGGGTCTGGGTCACTTCCCTTGCAGACGTTCCCTTTCTCTGTGGGCAGCGGCTGTTCCATTTCTCCTGCATTGCTTCCACCAACTTCATGAAATCCCACACTTTGCAAGACTGGTAGTTTCACTTGTCGATTCATTTGCTTTGTATTTGTTCTGCATGGCTGAATGCTGACAGCGTCTGTTCACCAGCCAGAGACAGATAGGGGATGTATGCGGTTTGAGTACTCAGAGGACAAGGGCATCCACATTTTACAGCTGGGGAAGTGAAGGCTCAGAGAGGCTCTTGGCTCAGACTTGCACAGGGTCCTACAGTCAGTAACAGCCTTGGGTCAAGAGCCCAGAGGTCTTGCCCAGAGTTTTTGGAGGTGGAAATGGGGCTGGGGAAGGTGGTGGAGACTGAGTTGATGGTGCACCTGAACTCTAGCTATAACCTCATCACTATCAGGCCTTCTCTCCTTAGAGAGAAGCAATAAATATTGTCCTGAGGGTGTCTTTTGCAGGGGCTAGGGTTGGGTGACGTGCCCCACCTGATCATAGAACCAAGGTAGGTGCTGGTCACAGGTTTTAGCAGCTCCCATGATGTTATCTTAGTTACCTTGGGGCTGGGTGTTATTACCACCGTGTCATAATGAGAAAAGTGAAGATCAGAAGTGACTGGGCTGGGCACGGTGACTCACACTTGTAATCCCGGTGCTTTGGGAAGCTGAAGCAGGAGGATCGCCTGAGGCCTGGAGTTCAAGACCAGTGTGGGCAACATAGGGACACCCTGTCTCTACAAAAAGATGAAAAGTTTAGACAGGTGTGGTGGTATGCACCTGTAGTCCCAGCTAACTTGGGAGGCAGAGGCCAGAAGATCATCTCAAGTAACTGGCCCAAGGTCACCCTATGAGATGTTGGATCCCAGATCTGACTGTTTCAATTTTACTGTAGTTCTCTTTCTAGAACAACACCTCCAGGTGCCTCTCTGAATGCAAGGTTGATCTGGCATCAGCCTCCCCAGTGGTCTCGGTAGGGTTTCTCTCTGGCAGTCTGTCCCACTCCTCTCAACTCAGGACAGTCAGGTTTTTGAGGCGTGTATCGATATTTTTCACACTTCAGCAGTTCTCTTTCTGTATCACTGCCACCACTTTTTGCCACTAACACATGACGCTTGTGCCCTTATTTACTTAGCATTTTTCTTTAAATCATTCCACTGTGGAGGATCTACGTGTATCTTAAAGGCTATTTCATATAGCCAGGTAAATAGAAAATTTGTATAATTTGCCAGAAGTAGAAGAAAATCACAACAATAAATAGCATGCAAATAAAACAACATTAGTAAAGTCTAGCTAGAAACATTCTCTTTGTTAAGAAGGGGCATCATTTCTACACCCATGTTCATTGCAGCATTAATCACAATAGCTGAAAGGTGGAAGTAACTCAAGTGTCCATCAACAGATGAATGAACAAAGTGTAATATGTATTATACACATAGTGGAATGTGATTCGACCTTTAAAAGGAATGAGAGTCTGACACACTACAACACGGAGGAACCTTGAAGACATCATGCTAAGTGAAATGAGCCAGTCACGCAAGGGCAAAGACTGTGTGATTCTACTAAGATGAGGTACTTAGATTGGTCAAATTCAAGAGACAGAAAATAGAACCGTGGCTGCAAGGGCTTGGGGGAGTAGAAAACAGGAAGTTCTGTTTCATGGGTATGGAGTTTCAGTTTGAGAATATGAAAAATGTTTTGGACATGGGATGTGGTGATGTTTGCATGACAGTGCGAAGGTCCATAATACCATTGCACTGTACACTTTTGTTTTTTGAGACAGGGTATTTGTTTGAGACAGAGTCTCACTCTGTCGCCAGGCTAGAGTGCAGTGGTTCGAACACAACTCTCTGCAGCCTCGACTTCCTGGGCTCAAGCGATGCTCCCACCTTAGCCTCCTGAGTAGGTGGATCTACAGGGGCATGTTACCATGACCAACTAATTTTTTTTTCTTTTTCTTTTTTTGTAGAGTCAGGGTCTGCTATGTTTCCCAGGCTGGTCTTGAACTCCTGGGCTCAAGTAGTCCTACCACTAGGGCTTTGTCCAAAGTGTTGGGATTATAGGCGTGAGCCACCCCACCTGGCCTGAATCTACACTTAAAAATGCTTAAAATGGTAACTTTTGTTACATATATGTATGTGTGTGTGTATATATATATATTTCTTACCACAATAAAGCATTTAGAAGTCAGACATCCTGTTTTGATGTCTAATAAAAGATTGAAAAATGGGGAAAAATAAGGGACCTAGTCCTTGTGAGAGAGGGTTAAAACAGTTTAGCCCTTGGCTAAGCGCCGTGGCTCACGCCTATAATCCCAGCACTTTGGGAGACAAAGGTGAGCAGATCATTTGACTTGTCAAGAGATCGAGACCATCCTGGCCAACATGGTGAAACCCCGTCTCTACTAAAAATACAAAAATTAGCTGGGTGTGGTGGTGTGCATCTGCAGTCCCAGCTACTTGGGAGGCTGAGGCAGGAGAATTGCTTGAACCCGGGAGCAGAGGTTGCAGAGAGCCGAGATTGAACCACTGCACTCCAGCCTGTTGATAGAGTGAGACTCTGTCTCAAACAAACACACACACAAAGAAACAAAAAACAAAAGAAACAGTTTAGCCCTAAGCTGAGGCTTCTGCTGGACACAACCAAGATTGAGAAAGACGTGTAAATGACATTTTTTGCAGTGTAACTCAGTTTATCTAAAGTCCTGTTGGGGTCCCACCTACAGTCTTCTTGCAGCTCACCAGGATTAGTAGCCCCCATATGAGGAGACACTTTACTGGGATGGTATGTGGCCTCCTCCCTGCCTGGGGGCCTGAGAGAAGACTGGCAGGCTTCCTACCACTCAAGCATCCAGAGTGTTTTGCAGAGGAGCGGGAGGCAGAGAAGCCTTCCTGGAGGAGGCAGGATCCAGTGGAGCCCTGATGAGTGGAGAGGAGCTGGAGGGCTTCCCAGGTACATGTGTGGGACCACAGCTGGGACTGAGCAGGGAGATGGGTATTAATATGGCAAACACACTCAGACTGGGTGGCGGTGGAAGTTGGATGGGCTTAGACTGTGAAGGAAGCCACCACTGGTTTGTTTGTTTGTTTGTTTTGTTTTTGAGACGGAGTCTTGCTCTGTTGCCCAAGCTGGAATGCAGTGGTGTGATCTCGGCTCACTGCAACCTCCACCTCCTGGGTTTAAGCGATTCTTGTGCCTCAGTCTCCCGAGTACCTAGGATTACAAGTGTGTGCCACCACGCCCGGCTAATTTTTGTATTTTTAGTAGAGACGGGGTTTCGCCATGTTGCCCAGGCTGGTCTCAAACTCCTAGCCTTAAGTGATCCACCTGCCTCTGCCTCCCAAAGTGCTGGGATTACAGGCCTGAGTCTCCGCACCTGTAATCCCACTGGCTTTTGAGCAGGAGAGTATCTTGGTAGTGAGTTTCAGGATCAGGAGTGCAGGGCTGAGTAACAGGCACTAACTTAGTCCCCAACTGAAGCGCGGCACAGTGAGGCTGGTACAGACCCAGGCTGGAAAATAGAGGGGCTGTGGGGTAGGCAGGACTTCCTCCTGAGCCCTGAGAACAGCCAATTGGGCTCACATTCAGCATGAGGAAGGAGGAGGTTGGCATGGCAATCCTAGCGGTAGCTGGGTGACCTCAGAAAGGAAGGGCCTGGAGGTCAAGGTCTGGATCATGATCAAAGAAAACAGAAGTGCCAAGAAGGGCCAAGGCTTGCCCAAGTCACCCAGAGGGAGTGTAGCCCAAGAGTCAGGACACAGGTGCACTGGTGTCCCTGCAAAGCCTTCACCGTGCGGCTGGGGTGGGGACCTGCCTGGCCTCCAAGGAGCAGCTCCCTCCTGCTTCTGCAGAGGCCACTTGTACTACCTGTGAGGTGTGCTTGGGCTGATGCGGGAAGGGTCCCAGTGAGGCAGAGAGGAGGGAGACCATGTTAGGACCTGTCTGGTTTCTGCCTTTTGCTGCCTCTCCATCTTTCCCCCAGGGCTGGAAGAGCAGATTCCTGAATCACAGTTTTCCCGGGAGTCTGGATGGGGCCCAGGCAAGAGAGCACCATCTCCCCATTACCAACACACACACTCACTCTCTCTACCCCCACACACCTCTTGGCTTTCCCTTAGAGCTCTTCAGAGGGTATGGCTGATGCAGTTCGGGCCTATCCAGACCCCTGGCTCAGGGAGAAGCTGGCCAGCTTTCCAGCCCCACGTTTTCAGGGCTCTGTGGCCAGGGAGGCCCCTCTCCACCAGGCTCTGCCACTTGGCAACTTTGGGCCAGGCCCTGGTCCTTTCTGGGCTTCAGATCCTTCATCTGTGAAATATGATGGCTTCATAGAGTGCTTCCAGTGACTTTGCCAGCCTTACCTTTTGTAAGCCCCACACTACCCTGCAAGGTGCTACTGTCATTATCTCCGTTTTACAGAGGGGAAACAGGTTCAGAGAGCGTGAGTGGCTTGCCCCAAGTCACCCACCCAGCAAGTGGTGGGCTTGGTACTTGAACCCAGGCAGTCTGACCCAGCTCCTGCCTGAGGTCCTTGCCATCATCGATATGCCATCGATTGTCAGATCAGGCAGGGATCATTTTCCCTTTTCTATAGGTGGGAAAACTGAGCCCCAGAGGGGCGACATCTCTTGCCCAAGGATGCGGAACTCAGGTGGGTCTTGAGCACTGCGTAAGGCCATTTTGCCATGTCCTCGAGCACCTCCACAGAGGAGCCGCCACTCCAGGAAGTGCTGCAGGCTCTACGGGGTGATACCATCAAAGGGTGACCAGGGCATGACCACCGGCTTGGAGGAAGCAAAGAGGATGCTGTTAGTGAAAGGAGAAGTGAAGTGAGAGTGTGATGCCTGGGCCTGGGGTGGAGGGAGCAAAGAGAAGTGCAGTGGGGGTGCAGGTGTGGGGCGAAGGGAGAGGCCACCCACAGACGCCTCCCAACTTCCCCTCCTTCCTGCAGAAGCAACAAGACAGCAGCCGAGACAGCAGCTGAGACAGCAGCGGCAGCTTCACAGGTCAGCCTCCTCTGGGCCTCTCCCCACTCTCCCCTGCCCGGTTCTCTGTCCTTATCCACAGGCCCCTCAGTGGGTACTGGGGATACCCACACCTAGGTGGGCACAGGCCTGGGGACATCCTGGGTGAGCAAGCTGGGGACCCACCCTCCTTCCCTTTCTGGTTGGCAGCTCCACATCTGGGGGAATGTAGAGAACTATGCTTTTGGAAGGAGGGGCGATTTATTTATTTATTTATTTATTTATTTATTTATTTATTTATTTTTGAGACGGAGTCTCGCTCTGTCGCCCAGGCTGGAGTGCAATGGCGCAATCTCGGCTCACTGCAAGCTCCGCCTCCCGGGTTCACGCCATTCTCCTGCCTCAGCCTCCCGAGTAGCTGGGACTACAGGCGCCCGCCACTGCGCCCGGCTAATTTTTTCTATTTTTAGTAGAGACGGGGTTTCACCATGGTCTCGATCTCCTGACCTTGTGATCCGCCCGCCTCGGCCTCCCAAAGTGCTGGGATTACAGGTGTGAGCCACCGCGCCCGACCAGGAGGGGCGATTTAAATTAAGAAGTGGTTAGACATGGGGCTCGAATCTTAGCTTCCCCACGAGGTCTGGGACAAGTGAAGGGTGGTTTCTTTTCTGGACCTCAGTTTCTCATCTGTAAAATGGGGTGAGTCTGGGAACCTGCACCGTGGATGGCTGTCAGGGGCTCAGTAGAGGGCCTGGCACATACTTTGTGCTTGGCAGACTGGAGCAGGTGCAGCTCCTTTCAGAGCGACCTGGATTGGATCCTGGGGACAGCATGTCTTGGGGAAATGGCCCTGCTGCTAGCTTGGTCACAGACTTCCTGTTGGGCTCCGGGGTGGCCTCTCTTTCCCAGCCTGTGAAACGGGGTCACTAATAGCATCTCTTAGGGCTTTTTTTTTTTTTTAGAATCTTGTTCTGTTGTCCAGACTGAAGTGCAATGGTGTGATCTCAGCTCACTGCAACTTCCACCTCCCAGGTTCAAGCGATTCTCCTGCCTTAGCCTCCTGAGTAGCTGGGATTACAGGCGCCAGCCGCAACGCCTGGCTAATTTTCATAATTTTAGTAGAGGCAGGGTTTCACCATGTTGGTCAGGCTGGTCTCGAACTCCTGATCTCAGGTGATCCATCTGCTTTGGCCTCCCAAAGTGCTAGGAGTACAGGTGTGAGCCACTGCACCTGGCCTCTTAGGGCTTTTTTTTGGCAGAGACCACAGGTTGATTGATTCCTCACCCAGGCCAGAGGCAGGGGCTCCAGACTGTGGTTGGCAGGGGCAGGTGGGGCTGTGTGTGGAGAATGGCTGGCTCAGTAGGCCCTCATGCTGCTGGGGAGAGGTGGGCTTCTGGGGTGCGTGGTCAGCTGCCGGGAGGAAGGCAGGGGTTCCCAAACCTTGTGCTCAGATGTATTCCTGACCAAGGACTTTGGCCAGAGCCCTGGACCTGGCTCAGAGCCTGATTCCCAGTAGAGGATGAGGGAAATTGTTGTTGGAGTTTCTCTTTCTGGGAAATAGGTTTCCTTGGCCTCATTTTACAGATGAGAAAACCTGAGACACAGAGAGGTCAAGTGCCTTGTGCAGTGTCACACAGCCTAGGCACTGAATACTGGCACTGGTTATCAGATTCTCATCCTCCAAAGGCTCTGTCCTGTGCTCCACAGCTCGTCATTTCTCTATTGGCCTAAAGAGGGTCTTACTTGTCTACACAGCAACTCAGCTGCCCAACCATCTTTGGGAGGCTGCAGTGTGCAGGGGGTCTCGCCCTGGACCCTGGAAGCCTGGGTTTGAGTCCCAGCTTGCCCACTGGCCTGCTGTAGAACTCAAGCAGACTCCTCTGTGCAGTATTCAGTTTCCCCACCATCAACTGGAACCATTCTGGAAGTCAGGTAAGGAAGGGATTGCTATTTCCTAGAAGGCCCCAAATAATGAATTGCAGGGTGGAAAATGAAATGACTCAGTGTGTGAGACGATGGTGACCTCTCTGAAGGGATGTGGAGGGGAATTTGGAGGTTGCAAGCAGAAGTGAAGACCGTGGTTTGCTCCTGGGAAAGGGGGTGGAAACCACAGCTTCTATCTGGAGTGCCTGGGGGAGCTATCACTTCTGCTTTGGCCTCAATTTCTTCAGTTGTGTAGTAGGGTCAGGCTTGTCTTCCCTCAGTACCTGCCCAGAACCAGTGTGGGTAAGAGCCTGGTCTTAGGGTCCACACCCTGCAGGTCAAATCCATCTATCTGACTGGACCTCATTTTCACCAACAGTATAGTGAAGGGGCGGACAAGTTGGCCCAAGATCCTTTCTGTGCTGTCAGGTCCTCCACTACTGGGCCTCAGTTTTTTCTCCTAAATGATTTCCTTCAGTAGCTCAGTAGCTTCTTTTGCCTCCCCAAATCTTTTTTTTTTTTTTTTTTTTTTAGAGTCTCACTCTGTCACCCAGGCTGGAGTGCTGGAGTGCAGTGTCACAATCACGGCTCCTAGGCCCAAGTAATCCTCCCATCTCAGCCTCCTGAGTAGCTGGGACCATAGGCTCATGCCACCATGCTGGGTTAGGATTTTTAATGTTTAATTTTGTAGAGATGGGGTTTCCTTATGTTGCTCTGGCTGGTCTCAAACTCCTGGGCTCAAGTGATCCTCCTGCTTCAGCCTCCCAAAGTGCTGGGATTAAGGCATGAGCCACCGCACCCGGCTCCCCCAAATCTTGTCCTTTGTCTTTTCTCTGAGGTTCTGAGAGGGTAAGTAAATAACACAGCCAAATAAATAACCAAATAGCCAAATAAATAAGAACCCAGCCTTCTGTGACTCCAGAGTCTCTATTTCATATTTAAAATAAACATATATATTTAAAAAATTATGTTAAGAAAAATGGGTGACCTCCTGGAGAAAAAATGAAATTGGATTTATATTTCCCACTGTACCCCAGTATCAATGCAAATGGACTGGAGATTTCAATTTGAAAAATGAATCTATAAAAGTACTGGAAGAAACGGGCAAATTCCTTCATGACATTGGAGTAGAGACCAGGCTTGGTGGCTTCCTCCTGTGATCCCAGCCCTTTGGGAGGTTGAAGCGGGAGGAGGGAGGATCGCTTGAGCCCAGGTGTTTGAGACCAGCCTGGGCAACATGCTGAAACCACGTCTCTACAAAAATAAAAACATTAGCTGGGCGTGGATGTGCCAGTTGATACAAAAGTGCCCCAGTTAATACAAAAAGTTGTATAGTCTACATACTATTCTGCATTTTGCTTTTTCACTTGAAAATACATCTTGGAGAGCTTTCCATGTCAATAAGAGGAGAGCTTCCACTTTGTCATCTGCATATTCTAATGTTGTAGGGATAAGCTACAGTTTATTTAACTAGTCCCCTATTCATAGACATTTGTGCTGGTTCTATTTATTTGGTCTTACAAACAATGTAGCTATGCTTATATTATTTCTCACATGTGTGAGTTCACCATTTATTTATTTTTATTTTTTGAGACGGAGTCTTGCTCTGTCACCTAGACTGGAGTGCAGTGGTATGATCTCTGCTCACCTCAACCTCCGCCTCATGGGTTCAAGCCATTCTCCTGACTCAGCCTCCCGAGTAGCTGGGATTACAGGTGTGCTCCACTGCACCTGGCTAATTTTTGTATTTTTAGTAGAGACAGGGTTTCACTATGTTGGCCAGGCTGGTTTTGAACTCCTGACCTCAGGTGATCCTCCTGCCTTGGCCTCCCAAAGTGCTGGAATTACAGGCATAAGCCACCACGCACGGCTCTATTTATTTATTTCTGATACAGGGTCTCACTCTGTCACACAAGCTGGAGTGCAGTGACACCATGATAGCTTACTGAAGCCTCAAACTCCTGGGCTCACGTGATCCTCTCACCTCAGCCTGCCAAGCAACTGAAACTACCAGGTGCGTGGCACCACACTCAGCTAATGTTTTTGATTTTTAGTAGAGTCAAGATCTTGCTACATCACTCAGGCTGGTCTCGAATTCCTGAGCTCAAATCTTCCTCCCGCTTTGGCCTACCAAAGCGCTGAGATTACAGGTATGAGCTACCACACCCCGCCATTTGCCCATTTTTATATTGGGTTCGACTTTTCCTTATCAATTTCTAGAAGCATTTTATGTAATAGGAAAATCAGCTCTTGTCTGTTATACATAGATAAAAGTATTATATCCAAATAGTTTTCCTAATTTGTCATTTGTCTTTTAACATTACGTATGGCCTTCTTTTGGCCAGGTAGAAGTGTCTTTTTAAACAATTTTTTTTGTTTGTTTTTTCCTGAGATGGAGTCTTGCTCAGTTGCCCAGGCTGGAGTGCAATGGTATGATATCAGCTCACTGCAAGCTCCGCCTCCTGGGTTCACACCTTTCTCCTGCATCAGCCTCCCAAGTAGCTGGGACTACAGGCACCCGCCACCATGCCCAGCTAATTTTTTGTGTTTTTAGTAGAGACAGAGTTTCACCATGTTAACCAGGAGGGTCTCGATCTCCTGACCTCATGATTCACCCACCTCAGCCTCCCAGAGTGCTGGGATTACAGACGTGAGCCACCACGCCTGGCCTTAAATAATTTTTATGTAATAAAATGTATCTGTATTTTCTCTTTTGGCTTCTGGATTTTGAGTCATAACTAGAAAAACCTTCCCCACTTCATTTTTTTCTTGTTTTGTTTCTGTTTTTTGTTTTTGAGACAGGGTTTTGATCTGTCACCCAGGCTGGAGTTTAGTGGCACAATCATAGCTCACTGAAGCCTCGACCTCCTGAGCTCAAGCGATCCTCCCACCTCAGCCTCCTGAGTAGCTGAGACTACAGGCATGTGCCACCAAGTCCAGCTAATTTTTTGTATTTTTTGTAGAGATAGGGGTCTTGCTGTGTTGCCCAGGGTGGTCTCGATCTCCTGGGCTCAAATGATCCTTCCACCTTGGCCTCCCAAAGTGCTGGGATTACAGGTGTGAGCCACTGCGCCTGGCTTGTCCAGATTTTGCATATAATAAAATATATGATTTTTTTTTGCGAGAATGGAATTAGATTGTTTTGCAATGTGCTTTTTGTCTTTTATGAGCAATATGTCACTAATATTTCTTCCGTATTGATAGTCACTTCGAGCATTTAAAAATCCTATTAAAATGTTTTTTTGTTGTTGTTGTTGTTGTCATGAAGGTAATATGTTGTAAAAAAATTAAACAATACAGCAAATATAGAAGGAAGTTTAAAAAGAAAAACCTCTCCCCTCAAAAAAGCATTATTAACATTTTGGTGGCCATCCTTCTAGATCTCCCAATATGCTTCAGCATGCATACAAACATAATTTTTCGTAAATGAGATTTCGTGTGTTATTTTCAACCTGCCCTTTCCACTCAATGATATGTTGTGCTCTTCTTTTACTTAGCTTTACTTTTTTGTGTTTTTTTATTGAGACGGAGTCTTGCTCTGTCGCCAGGCTGGAGTGCAGTGGCGTGATCTCGGCTCACTGCAACTTCTGCCTACTGGGTTCAAGTGATTCTCCTGACTCCGCCTCCCGAGTAGCTGGGATTATGGGCGCCCACCACCAAACCCAGCTAATTTTTTTTTTTTTTTTTGTATTTTTAGTGGAGACGGGGTTTCATTGTGTTGACCAGGATGGTCTCAATCTCCTAACCTTGTGATCCGCTTGCCTCGGCCTCCCAGAGTGGTGGGATTACAGGCATGAGCCACTGTGCCCAGCCTTTTTTTTTTTTTTTTGGAGAAGAGTCTCACTCTGTCATGCTGGCTGGAGTGCAGATGTACCATCATAGCTCACTGAAGCCTTGAACTCCTGGGCTCAAACAATCCTCTTGCCTCAGCCTCCTGAGTAGCTAGGATTACACATGTGCCAACATGCCTGGCTAATTTTTATATTTTTAGTAGAGATGGGGTTTTGCCATGTTGCCCAGGCTGGTCTTGAACTCCTGACCTCAAGTGATTTGCCCACCTAGGCCTCCCAATGTGCTGGGATTACAGGCGTGAGCCACCACACCTGGCCTCAAAATTTTTTTTAGAGAAAGGGTCTCGTTTTGTTGCCTAGGCTGGTCATTAACTCCTGGCCTCAAGCGATTCTCCTGTCTTAGTTTGGGATTACAGGTGCAAACCATGGTGCCCGGCTATATGCATCTTTTTTTTTTTTTTGAAAGAATACACATAATTCTTAATAGTGAAATGACAATCTGTTGCATATTTTAACTTTTAATTTTGAAAAAATTATAAATGCACAGAAGGTTGCAAAAAATAGTACAGAAGGTTTTGTATACCCTTCACTTATTCTCCAGTAGTAACATCTTACATGCCTATAGTGTAATATCAAAGCCAGGAAATTGTCTTTGGTATAGTTCACAGACTTCATTCCGTATTATACACACTCATTTATGTATGCCGGTTCTTTGGTAAGTGTGTTTTAACTTTATAAGAAACTGCCAGACAGTTTTCCTTACAATTTCATGACATGATAAAATAAAAGATTCCTGTAAACAACACCACAATCAAGACACAGAACTGTTCCATCGCCACAAGGATCCCTTGTGCAAGACCTTTAAAGAAACAGACTCCCCCCGCCAACCCTTTGCAACCACTAATGTATTCTCCATCTCTATCATTTTGTCATTTCAAGACTGTTGCATAAATTGAATCACACAGCATGCAACATTTTCAGATAGGCCTTTTTTTTTTTTTTTTTTTTTTTGGCTCATGATAATTCCTTTAAGATCCGTCCAAGTTGTGTGTGTCAGTAGCTTTTTTTGAGAAATTCATTTTTTTAACTGCTGAGAATTGTATTTCAGAGGGTAAATGTATCACCATTTAACCATTTTCACCCACTTTGAGGCTATTATGAATAAAGCTGCGATGACTGTTCATATACAGGTTTTTGTGTGAACACGAGGTTTCATTT